ACGTAAGTAGTAGAGTAGTACGTAGTAGTAGTAGTAGTAGTAGAGTAGTAGTAGTAGTAGTAGAGAGAGAGATAGAGAGAGAGAGGAGAGAGAGAGAGAGAGAGAGAGAAACCTCTGTGACATTAGAAAAACTTGGAGTCTGAGGATAGTAAGCTTTTTTAAGAGGTATGGGAATCAAATAATTCACAAGGTTTAAAAGATCTGGTAACTAGAGTATGACATTGATAGTTATACTTGTCTTTTTTTAATGGTTCTTTAATGGCAGTATGGCCAAATTTTTACATAAAAAAGTTCCTGTGCATGTCTAGCACATTCATGCATGTGCGTGCATATAAGTAAGTAATTACTTTCAAGCAGATAAATCCATATCTGTATGGGGTGTGCATCTGTGTTTCTGTCTGATAATTATTCAGGGTAATAATTTGAATCACAAACATAAAAAACAATCTGCAATCTATTTATTGAGTGGACATTTCTTCAAAAATGAAAGATAGAGAAATCTAAAGAACCACGAAAAGAAATTAAACACAGGGACACATAAGCTCTTGTGTCAGAACTTCAAGGCTCAAAGATGACATGAAGATTTACCTAGGGTATGGATTTCCTTTCACTACTTTTTGCCCATATTTTCGCCAACGAAATCCATCCTCCAAAATTTCAGATTCCGAAGTCTTCACCACCACGTGAGGGTCATGATCGCCCCCCAGGGTTGCACTCACTTCTTTACCTTTGTTCTCTGTCTTCCTGAAAATCCATGACGATAATATCATCAATATCTAACACAAGAGAGACAGCAGTCGAACACTCAAGAAAAGAACAAAGTAGAAAGAATCCAAACAAAATCACAAACACAAATAGGCCTACGCGCGCAGACTTAATACAGTAAAATCTACGTATGCTTCCAGCCGAAGTCTCTCTCTCTCTCTCTCTCTCTCTCTCTCTCTCACACACACACACACACACAGACATCGATAGTGAGATCAAATAACAAGTCCCGAAAATAAAATACAAATACATGACTATGCATGTTTTGGTTAACTTGTGAGGGGGTGTGTGTGTGGTGGGTATCGGCGTAGTGTGGGTGCGTGGGTGTGGGTGTGTGTGGGTGGGTATGTGAGAGAGAGAGAGAGAGAGAGACAAGAGAGTCCAAAGAGAGAGAGAGAGAGTCCACCTTCTCTTGTTATTGGGTTCTTCACCATCCCTGTCTTCTCCTCTGGTCCCTTCTTCACAATCCTCACTCATCCCACATGAATTATCAGGACTCCCAACCACACCAGTCAGTGGCTCATTCGGAAATGCTGATTTCCCATGATTGTAAACCTGGTTCCCCGATATATCCATGTCATTCTGATTCTCCAATAGACCAGCATCAAAACCTTTGGTTCTATCTCCACTTGAATCCCATAAGTGACCACTGGTTTCACGAGCAGCTCCCTCAATCATAGAAGCCTCAATCGGCAACCCTGATGAAGCTCTCTTAGGTGGCTGAGGTTTCACGTGATTGTGCTCTCCTTTATAGACAATTTCAGCAATCTGGCCATTAAAAGATCTCTCCACCTTCTTCTTAACAGGGCAATTGGGGTGTGTACATTTGTAATAGCTCCTTGGATACTCGCTCCCCTTCACCTGCTTTTGCCCATATTTTCTCCAGTTATATCCATCATAAGATGGTTTCTGGTTGTGCTCATGGCTCTGAGAACTTTCTCTCACTAAATCGTTTGGTGGATTAGTTTCCATGGGCACTATGGACCTCTGGTGAGGAAATGGAGAGGTGGGTTGGGCATGGATCTGTACTTTTAGTGGGTTCAAAGTTTGTGCTTGAGGTTGTGCTTGGAGTTGGGATTGTGCTTGACGCAATGCTTGTTGATGACTGGTTTTGAAGTTTCCCTGTGGATAATCAAAGCTCAGTTTCTCTCTCTTCCGTACATCAAGGATAAAAGGTTTTGTCTTCTTAGCAATGTATAAAAAATGGAAAGCCGAACAAAAATGGATTTTCAGGGCATTTAATCAAAATCCAGCTTCTATCTTCTGATCAAACTTTGTTTCTTTCTCTTCTTTTGTTTGCAGAGTGAATACATAAGATTTTGCTTGATCACTATTCAATTTTAGGAATATCATTTTGGTTCCCTCCATTAATTGTCTCGAAAGTGAGAGAAAAGAATCAAATACTTTCTACATGAAAATCTAATGGTTTAGCTTTGAAGGAATTTCCAAACCCATACAGATGACCATAAAGGACTCAGGTGATTTGCACCAGGCCTGTGGGTGGCCTTTCCTCAAATCTTGTGAGTAATTCTGTAAATACTTTAATCATATCAATATATATTGTGACCTTTATAAAAACAAAAAAGAAAAAAAAAATACGGTATGTCATTGGAGGTATTGGTGTATTTGTAAGCACTTAGAAAGCAGTAAATTCATCCTTTTGCTTTGAACGGAGAAAGTTGAGAAAGCATCTCCAAAAGTAAGAAATGGTGGGTTTTGAAGAATAAGAATCGAGAAAGGGCCTCCAAAAGTGAAAATAAATGAAAAAAATCGCTTACTGAATCAGAAAAGTAGAGCTTTCTTTTTAAGGAAAATCCATAATTTTATTCTCATTAGCAAAAATATAAAAACCCTCTTCACAGTGAACAAATAAATCAAACTATCAAAATAATACAAGCTTTCAACTTTAGACAGAGAAGAAATTAAAGAATCAAGGAAATTTGGAGTAGATTTTCGAACCAAATTAGGCAAGAATGCGGCAGTAGTCCTTGAAACAAGCTTGGCCATGGGCTTGTATATCACACTAGATCTACTCTCCGGCTTCGAAACCTTAACAGAAGAACCAGAGGCTTGGGGCATAGGTATCTCCCCCTGTAAATTTTTACCATAAATTGAAAAGACAAAAGGATTACACTTCCAGAAAACCTAAAAAAAGCCAGTGAACTAGTCTCCTGAAAAGGACAGAATAAGAAATTGAGGGGAAAAGGACAGAAAACCCATAAAAGAGAAGAAGAGAAAAGAAGGAGAAGAACCCACCTGAGATGAAGGTAGCCAACCTGGTATCTGGTTCAAAGGGGGCTTGAACCTAACTGTTTTTGGTCTAATGGCTACTGTGGCCTCTGCACACGACCTCGGAGGAGAGGCGTTAATGGCACCAGCAAGAAGCTTAGAGAAAGACCCGAAACCAGAGCAAGATGGCCTTGTAGCAACTGGTCTCGCCACCGCAGCAGGCCTTTCCACCACTCTGTCTTCCATTTTGTTATTTTCTCTCTCTAAGATTCAGTCTTTTTGCTTCGAAATGGGAGCTTCTCAGCTTCAGGCGCCATTAGAACTCACCCAATTAGCTTCGATCCGTCTACGAATTCGTAGGCTCGCTGGTTTTGTAGAGAGAGAAACATGTAGGGTCAAGTAAAAAGCTCCCAGTTCTCTTTCAGTAGTTTTTAGAGAGAGAACATGAGGTGAAGAGCTTCAATATTGCTGCAATATTTTTGGTTTTTGTTTTGATTTGTAGAGAGAGAAAGAGAGATTGTGATTATCTCGTGTGAAGATAGAGAGAAAATAAAAAGGAATAGCTTACATAAGGTTACAATCTTTTGCAGAAATAATACATCTTGTAAGACATTATAAAGGGTGCACTTGCATACGGATGCATCCCAGCTGCAAAGGTAAGGTGCACTTTCAAATTTTATCATGGTATACTTTCAAATTTTATCATGGTATATAATTTTGATGTAAAATATTTTTAAGATTATTTTAAAATTTATTTTTATTTTTAATTATAAAATTTTAAATTTTAAAAATAGTTAAAATTAAATAGATAGATAAATATATGAAAATCTTGAAAGTAAACGTTGTAGATAATAAATTGTAAAATGCACTATTTTTAAAATTTAAAACCTTTTTATTTTTCATGGTCATACATCTTGATTTTGAGATGATCAATCAAAAAGTTTTTCAACATTAAAACTACCTTTTCTAATAGATTTTTGAAGTGCATCCGTAGTTCTATATTATAAGGTTGCATCTTTATATAAACTTTTTCCTTATTTAAACGATTTGGTTTCTATGCAGCCAAGCCCGTGTATGTAGAAATATGAGCCTATTGATAAATCTATTTTTATGATGAATTTTAAGGCTTAATTTTTAAAGATATGTAATCTCTAACATGGAGACCATAAATATGAAAAAATAAATAAGTTTTAAATACTATATATAAGTTTTAAATAACTAGAAATACTAATTCTAATTAAAAAACATTCGGACGAAACACTTACTTGAATCTATCTTTAAAATGGACGCTTTACATTTTCTGGACCGCATATGTAAAAATGTGGCCCAGCTTGCATGAAACAATTTTTCTTATTTAAACCATCAATTTTCAAGATTTTCATATGTTTATATATTTACTTGACTTCAACTATTTTTGGAGTTTAAAATTTTATAATTAGATATGAAAATAGATTTTGAAATAATCTTAAGAATTTTTTACACTAAAATTACATGTTATGATAAAATTTGGAGGTGCGCTTTAATTGGATTGTTTTAAAGTATCTAAAGTTACAAAATTCTAATTTATCAAAAGATAAATTAATTTTACAGCCACCCAACGTTTTAGTAATCCACCCAATGGCTTTCATTGCATGAGGGGCTGGGTACCACTGGTTCTCACTTTGTTAGGAAGATAACTAATAATATGGCATTTCTAGCAATATGATCGAGAAGTATATTTCAAGCTCAGAAAAATGAAGCATTTCAAGCTTGGAAAATACTTAGATTTATACTTATAATGGATTTTTCAATAAGTGTTTGGAAACTTGGAGATCTATGTCAGATCGCTCAAGTTGCTGATCTAAGTCGGTTCAAATTGGTGATCTCGAAACATTAAAAAAAATTAAAATTAAAAGAATATAATTGAAGTTAATAAGAAGAATATAGGGAAAAACCTAAAACAATATTAGATAAGTTTAAAAAAATATATTAGTTTTAGGGTGTGGACCGAACTGGTGCTAATACCTTCTTGGAAGATTAAATCCTAGCCTATTCCCTTTCCAAATCAGTTGGTTTTTCTATTTTAATTCTTGAAAGTCATCAATCTACGTTGTTTTTGTAACTTCAAGTTCATGATTTGATGCCAGAACAGATTGGACTATCAAATCCTCATGGATCATCAGACCTTCATTAATTTTTAGATCTCCAAGTTGATGAATTTGATGCATTTTAAGTTATAATACCATACTATGTCGGCTAAACTAATAAAATGCTTTCCCCTCACTAAGATGGAGAGAATAGTTCTAGCCAATGTTATTATATTCGCTTTGCTTCCACTGAAGAGAGCAAAGTCTTCAGATTTTTTACCCAAACCAAAGTGAAATGAAGCTCTGGTACATCTGCTTCAGGCTGCTTTGACACACTTTGGTTTGATTAAGCCTATTCGGTCAAAGCACAAAATTACCTTTTTTTTTAATTATTTTTCTCAAAATTTTTATTTATAAAATTTGTATTATTATTTTTAATATATTTTTATACATAAATGTATACTTCATTCATATCAATTTTTAAAAAAATTAAAAAATCTTCCACTAAATCAACTGAAGCATCAAATTGCTACATTTTTCCACAAACAAAAAAGGTCGCTCCAAAGCAACATTGGCCACAGCTAGTTCTAGTAATTTAGCTAGTACTCCCAATGCTATTGGGTAATGCATGAAGCTCCAAATCTTACTATTAGAACAGTAAACTAAAATGATTGTTCTTTCATAAACAGGACAATTGTACCCTCAACAACCCGTTAATATTTCAAAATCCCATGGTACTGATTAATTAGATGCCTCTACTCTAACTTTGTTAAGGGAAAGTATAGAATGGGACTATTTACCTTTAATACAAAGTGTTCACATTAATATTGATCATTGGATGTGATATTGGGTGGTTGCAATTATTCTATTGACCAAGCTCAAAGGTAAATGGTATCCCCGTATACAATATCTTTTATTAAATACATGAAATCCTATTTTTAAACTTTTATAAAATTGAGGACTTTCATTCAAATCATTGTTTTGAAATCTGGCCATTTTTTATCTAGATCATCGATTTAGATAGGAATTAGTCAGGGCGAATTGGTTCTGGCATGATATAGGTCCTTGCCTAGTACCCCCAAAAACTCCCCCACTTATAAATTTCTTCTTTCGTTTTTTTAAGCTCTTAAGCTTGTCTAATATTTTTTTGGGTCCTTTTTAATCCCATCCCATAAACCCCAATTTTTATTTGTTTATTTATTAGTATTTTTTATATCAATTCAGACCAATCCGGACTTGATCCATGTCGCCAATCCAGCGTTCGGATACAAATTTGTGAGTGAACGATCCCATTCACTAATCTGTGATTTAAAACACTGATTCAAATAGATGGTGAGATTCCGTGATGGGTTTATGGGCAGAAGTCTCTGCTGCGTGCCTTGGAGGATTTTGAAATGGAAAATTGTTTCATGCAGGCTGGACCACATTTCTACAATATGCGGTCCAAAGGTATAAATCTTCCATCTTAAAGATGGATGCAATAGGTAGTTTATCTAAAACAAGTGTAACTAATGGTCCAAATGTTTTCTTAATATAATTATTGTTTCTAATTTCCAATTTATATATTTATTTTTCATACTCATAATCTCCATATCAAAAATTATGTATTCTCTAAAAATTAGGATCAAATTATATTTTAAAAATATATTTATAGCCAAGCCCACATTTCTACATGCCCTTTTAATTTGGGGCTTGTTTTTTGCCATAACTTAAATGGCGAGGGACATTTTAGTCTCCAGGGCGATATTAATCATCTTCACAGATGACTTGGGAAGTAAAGACTAATCCATCATTTAAATACTATAATAAAGTTTTCCCTACTACTTAATTATAAAAATCTTTGGAAAAATAAAATGCCCCACGAAAATCCAGGCACTTTTTTTTTACTTTATGTTTGCTTAAGGAAAGACAAGACAATCACGGATTACATGATAAGGCATCTGTCAAATTTCTCCTTTACTTTTTTTTTTTTTTTTTTTGAGTGTTAACTTCTTGTGTGAAATGTCTTTGGTAGTAAGCTTTGTTTCTTTCGAGCTTGGTCTTTTATAAGAAGCTGTATATTTGATATTGGGTGGTAGATCATGGAGACATGGTGCAGATCTTTCCTAGGAAAAGGTCATGGTACATGGCATCTTAGGCAACTATGATGAATTTTTTATACTCATAATGTAGGTATGATCCATATATCATAATCAACCATAGAACTGTACGATTCTATCCTCTATATCAACCGATTATTATTTTTTTTTAAAAAAAATTAGAATAAAAAATGGGACAAGTTCTGACCAGTTATTTGATAGAACTGGCCAGTTTGACCTGTTCCCGATATTTAGCAGAACCGATCGCCCCCGATGATTCTCAATCTGAATCAAGCGATCCGGATTCGAATCGACGTTTTTTTAAACCTTGCTTCATATTGAACATTGTCATAGATGTTTGGTTTCTAGCTAATCACCCATGGTTAGAAACTGAACATGGCAGTTTTTTATACAATCAATTACGACCATCCATTTTTCAAAATACATGGTATAAGATGTTTTGCTATGCGCACTGTACGGATCCATGTGTCATAGTATGAAGTTTGTGTTTTAGTTGAATTAGCCCCACTAAATAAACATGCCCTTTCTGTTCAAAGTGAGGAAGTTGTCTATAAAGAGACCATTTACCTTTTAAGCTAAGAGGTTGCAGCTATTCTCTCTCATTAAACCTCAAGTTGGATGGCTTGGGGTGAGTCATGAAGTCCAAGAAATTTTTTTTTTGAATATTGTGTCTAATCAATGACACTTTTACAACCATTCATTTTGAAGTCTAAGAAATAAAAATGATTGTGACCTCCTTGTACAAAAGGTCAAATGCTCTCTTTGTAGACAATCCCTCAAAATAGACATTCCCTTAGCGTTCAAAATCCTTTCATATATTTTAGTACAATTGTTTACATACATTTGAAGCATATATTTTAGTAAAATTATTTATATATATTGTTTATCAGGTTAATATGAAAAGTGTATATGTAATCAGTATATATAAGAAGGATCGGTACCATATCTTGTATTTTATGGTAAGTCTGGATATAGTATGGGTATCTATGATGTAGTTTCTATTATTGTCATAAATAATTTGTCTATAAAATACAAATTTGTATATTCATATCAATCAATAGACACTGAATCTCTTCAGAGAAACACTAAGATGGTCGCAGTTTCCTATATCGTTTGAGCCCCAATTTGAATGCCATAATATTGCCCCTTATTGTTGCATGGTACAGATGAAATAGTATTTCTGAACTGGTATCTATGTAAAAGAGTATCTATGAACTGGTATCTATGTAAAAGCCACATGATTTTCAAAGTACCACCAGCCAGGGTGAAGAAGACTCAAACTTAAGATGTAATAGTAGGAAATATTTTGTTTTAAGAAGGAGACCATATAAGTATGGAAAAGAGCCTTTTGGGGAGAGTGAATATACATATGAAGTGGAGAGGCGCCATTTTTCTCCAGATTCGCCTCTTTTGGCCATGGTCACTACTCCTGGGCTCGCCCCGACTTTGATTTTGGTTGAT